AATGGTGTTTTCCCACATGGAGTGATAATGCTTCCCCCAGGAGATATAGACTATCTAACAAAAACTCCAATGCCAAGTCAAGAGACACCTCCCCTTGAGCTGTTGGTCAGGGGTATCCAAGACCTAAAACAATATAGGCTACTGCCACTGCCCTTGGTTGCCTCATAGAGCTTGAAGGTAAGACCCTATTGCTGAAGACACCACACATTCTGGTCACAGGAATTGGAGGAAATCAAGCTAGAATAGACATGGAAGCCTCTTCTCTGAGAATTAGTCCTCATAGTATCTGAAGCTGCTCTGGAAGATGCCAAGGGAGAAAAGTTATCAACAGTCCTACCTACATGTAAAGCCTATGAACCATTAACAAAGACTAGCCCAACAAGATATCCACAATGAGGCAACTGTGGCACTTGTAACTTGGGGGTAACCAACGACTGTCTAATTGTACTTAAGGTTCAATAGGTGAGAACCCATGCCTGGTACTGTAAACTCAGCCAAGAACCTGTGGCTGGAGAGGTCACAGACCCTAGAGGAAACCCCACTACAGCCATGTTACTAAAATAATACAGCTTCCAATTGCCCTCTAAGTACTCATTCTTATACCCACAGATTAGTGCAGCTCTCAGTCTTCATCAAAGAAGCTTCTTTCTGTAGCAGACAGAGGCTACTACAGAGATCCACAAGTGGTCAAAATGTAGAGAATAAATGACAGTGGGGTGCCCAGTCCCAATTGGGACATCTATAATACAAGCTCTACACTTAAGGCAGAAACATCATAGAAGAAGTGCAGTAAGATTTTAAGAGCCAGAGGACCAGGATGACTGTGACAAGACAGTGCCTTCTAGATATGACAGGGATGCTGTATCATGAAATCTCAACTATATGGCTGCTTGCACAAAGCCACACAAGTTGACAAAGCAACACAGATAGGGGAAAATGTCACAAGGCCTCACCCCTTGAAGAGCTACAGGGCAGTCAATGGCTGTCGAGGGAAGGAGAATCTGTTTTCTTCAGGAACGAGGACCCTGATAGGTTTCCCAATTCTAAGTGAGCAGTCCTAAGCACAACTACATATGGACAACACTAATTGGACTCAGTAGGTTGTGTGTGTGTGTGTGTGTGTGTGAATAATTATAAAAGAAGATGTCATGAATTCCAGAAGGGGTGGGGGGATACGAGAGAGTTGGACAAGGGGAAATAGGGGTGGAAATGAAGTAAATGCAGTGTGCTCGTGTATGAAGTTCTCAAAAAATTAAGAGGTTCACAGTGATACCTTTCTCTTTCCTCTGACATTCAACAGCAAAAGCTCATCTTAAAACAGTGACAAGAGAACAGTGCAAAGTCCCCAGATGCTTCAGATGCCTGCAGCCTTATAAAATCACTCAGAGCCCCCAAGCTAGAAAGAGAGCAGAAAGGAAGCAAGGCCACCACCTAGAAGAGCTGGTCTTCAAAATGGTCAGTTGAGTTATGTGAACAGGAAGTCCGGGAATCATATTTTCTCAACTGCAAAGTGAGAATAACATAACCCCACAAAGTCGTAGCAAAGTCTAAATAGAGAATGCAGTACAAATCCATGATCACAGCCCCCAAAACACAATAGATGGTAGCATTCTATGTAGTGACAGAACTCTACACCACACAGGGAACTGCGTACATGTAAGAACATGCATGATAGTGTCTAATTTTTATGTAACTAAAAAGCCAGACTAAAATTTATGAATTTGTTATGCCTCCAATATAAAACACACAAAAATAAAAGCAATGCTTCCTTATAAAGAAATAAATTAGATAATAGGTATGATTTCTTTATAAGAGTTTCAAAGTCTCTGGGCTTAGACTTTATGCTGTTATCAAAATGCATATAAAAAGAAAACACAAGGATAGAACATAATTTGCTTTTATAACAATATTAATATTCTAAAGAGCGAAAGAGTGAAAACTAAAAGCACTTATTCTCATCCATAGAATCCAGAAAGCACCGTTATCTCTAAAGGGTTTTGTTGTTGTTGTTCAAGGATTCTGACTCTCACGCTAAATTAATTAAAAACTCCAATTAGTTTCTCTAAATCAAGAACAAAGCCAAATCTTGCACATGGTATTCAGCCTCACATCAATCCTTATTCATACCTACCCTTCTGATTTTTTCTTACTCTAGCCCTATATAAAATCCATTTACATTCCTTTCTCATTATTTGTGTGACTTCCTCCATATAAAACATACCTTTCCCAAACTATGGATCAGCCTATTAAAAGCTTTGATTTCTGAGTGTATTCATACAGTCATGTTTACTGAGCATTATTCCGCAGAAAGCACAAGCTGGACAACAGACTGAAGACAAAGAAATAAGCTGTGGTCCCAAAGACAATGTACACGTGTAAAGAGTTAACCCTAAACACAAGTCATCACAGAATAACTGATGAAGAGGTCAGCTCATACTGTCATTGTAAAAACGAACAAAAAAGTCATTTAAGCCTTAACTCTACTGAAATCCTCTCTCCTTCAATTGTACCTATTTCAGTCCTAGTTTTTCTCAATTATTCTAAATCATTCCAGTCACTCACAACATGTGCACAAATACCCATGAACTTGAAAAAGTACTGTTTGCCCATATAATTTTAATGTCCACTAAATGTTCCTTAAACAGTATATATTATTTGAATAATGATTTTAAAAATTGTTTCCAACAATGAAGATCCCTTATCTTTTATCTAATACTAGTTGTGGCCAAAGTGGTCAGAAGAGAAAGTATGTTAAGAAGAGATTCAGAGTTACTGCTCTGTCTCATTCCTCCAAGACTGAACAGCAAAAATCCATCTTAAGAGAAGGTCTAGCTAGGCTGGGTGTGGTGCTATAACACCTTTAATTCCAGCACTCAAGAGGCAGAGGCAGGCAGATCTCTGTGAGATCGAGGCCAGTCTCGTCTAGATAGCAAGTTCCAGGCCAGCTTGGGCCACAGGGAGACCCTGTCTCAAAACAAAATCTACTTTATTGGAAACATTTCTAGAAAATGTCAAGAAATGTAAGACTTCTTAAGAGATTCTTTTAAGAAAAAAAGTTTAATAAACTAGTTTTTTAGCAGGGAAAATACTTAATTGAGTAACTTTTCCTTTAAAGTTTCCTGAAGCATTCCTATACTAACCCGAAATATATGAATAAGCTTTGATTCTGTAACCATTACATGCTTAAAAAACCAAAAATTCATTTTATCCTCTCCCTAGGCACTTAACTATCCCATTTCCCAAATAGCACTGATAAACTAAAGTCTTGTCTCACAGCTGATAAGGCCTGAGGTTTGAAACACCTCCATAAGAGAAATGTCACAGGAAGGTTAAACTCCAGTTTAAGGGCTACCCTATTACCAACTAGTTATTTTGTTAAATACAGTTATAGTTCAAGAAGACATAAATATTTAATTACATAAGTGAATTAATATGAACACTCTAATCTAGTATGTATTTTTTTATTTTATCACTTTTAAACACCATCATTAAAAACAAAGACATTTTCTCAAGCAAGATAAATAACAAATTTAAAATGTTAAAAAAATTAAACATAAATTTATGTTCTTATGTAAAATAATTCAAAATCTATGTTCTTAACATTATTTTGAATAAACGTAAACTGTACCTGGTTACTCCCATGGCCAAAAGGTGTACTGGATATATTAGTGGTTACACTGTGCAAGATAATTTCACCACTAAGAGACCCAGATGCAATATAGCAGTCATTCCAATTGTATCTTATACAAGTTACTTCATCTTTATGATCCTGAAAGATAGAACTCTGAGTAAGGACCATGGCCGTTAAACACCAAGCAGTACATTTTCATATTCAGATAAACAGAAAATATCATGAATGTCAACCTAATACTTGTGTTAACATTTCCCTTGAATAACTTTTTTAAAAACACTCAGATGAGTAAGAAACTACAAAACTAACACTGATTCTTCTCAGTCAATAGATTTTCATAGCCAAATTACAAAGCATTCTGAAATAAGAAACAGTATAGGAAGGTAACTTGGTAAATGCTCACTTTGAAGAACTGACTTTCACTGACAAATAACATTTATTTCAGGGTAACTATTAAGAGAGTGTTTGCTCCTGAGTATGAGTACTCAACTAGAGACAAGACACTTAAATTAACTCCAAAATGGCAGAGCAAATGCTCAACAGGCAGAGGCACCAAGTCAGAAGGAAAGAGGTGTTGTCAACTGACCTGACAAGAAGACAGAAAATTTGATTCACTTAAAGAAAGAGTAAGAGGGGGGAGTGGGAGTGGTGAGAGGTACTTGTAATCCCAGCACTGAGTAAGATCATGAGTTTAAGACTAGCCTAGGCTAAAAGAGTTCTAGGCTAGCCTGTGCTATACAGCAAAATCTTATTTCAAAAAACAAACAGAAAAAAAAAAAAACAGAGGTAAATCACGAGAACAGGAAGGAAACAAGATGAGACAAACTGGGAGGCAAACAACTAATGAGTAAGTCAGACACGAGAGACGAGGTGCAGCTACTTCCAATGGCTGAGTACTCTGCGGGGGCTTCACAGAGTTCATCTTTAAAAATCCCAAAAGGAAGGGGGCTGAAGAGATGGCTGAGTGGTTAAGAGCACTGATTGTTCTTGCAGAGGACCCAGGTTCGATTCCCAGCACCCACATGGCAGCTAACAACCATCTGTAACTCCAGTTCCAGGGGATCCAACACCCTCTTCTGACCTATGTGGACACTGCACAGCATGGGTGCACCTACTACATGCAAGCAATACACACATACATATTAAATAAAAATAAAATATTTTAAAATACCCAAAAAGAAAAGGTCATTTTGCCCATTTATAGATGAGGTACAGGAGGCAAAGAAAGCTCAGGAAACCAGTGCAATCTCACACAGGTGTTAAGTGATAGACTAGGATTCAACTCCAAGTCAAATTCCAACATCCACAGCTCATTCTCCCAACATACCAGGATGCCTCTCAGATATGATAGCCGATTTTGAGGAAATGGAAGTGCGGGACTTTGAATGAACTGAGCTTACAAGGATTGTTTCCAAACATCAAATAGAGATGTTTAGCAGGAATATATACTGCTGATCAGTTAGAAGGGTAGTATGGTAACGTGGTATCCTATTATTTACTAAGATGAATGTACTAAGCCTGATACATAATAATTAATGTATTATCAAGAACACATGTAGATATGATATCACACTTAAATTACAACCTTATCAAGTGATGCTTTAAAAATAGTCCCCAAACCAAAAAACAATTGCTTGAGGAAAAAAAAATCTGATAAGAAGACATAAACAACAGTTTGTGCATTGTCATAAGGAATTAGGGGTGTCAGACTAGAACAGAACAGAACAGAACAGAATTTCTATGATTTGTAAAGGGGTTGGCGTCATCCTATTTTCAACTGTAGAAAATACATCACCAGGAAACATTTACCATGCACCAACCAAATGTCAGAAATTTTGTTATATCACTAGGGAGCGGACTACAGATGAGAGACCCAAAAGCAAAAGATAAGGTTTCCTACTGCCACCAAAAGTCAGACAACTGTGTCTTAAACAGATGAGGAAAGCTCCCGAACAATTTCAAATAGGAAGAGAAAAGATCAACTGAAGCAACCAGGAAAACTGCAGATGGAAAAGGAGCATAATTTTGCCATGTGGGTATGGAGAAATTTGCCACATGGATATATCCCCGTAAGTAGGTGTAATTCATAATTCAAAGACTAAACAATGAACGGGGTCTAAACCTGAAGGTCACCTGAAGCACTGTGGAATAACAGAGAGCAAGTTCTTTAACACTGGACTCAGTTTCTCCATCTGTACATGGGAATAATACTTGCTGTTCGCAGAGTTATTGAAATAAACAGAAGAGGCATGTGTAAGCACGGCAACTGGCACAGAAAGGAACTAGAGAAAAGTTAACTGTCTTCATTAGTGGCTACTTTTCAATTACCTGATTTTTTTCACAGCAGAGCTTTTAGAGTCAAGATGCTTGAAAGTTTAGCTACACTTAAAATAATAAGCTTCTAAAGGTAATATTTAAACAGCAATTATAGGAACACATTTTAATTTAGTGATGGGGAAACCATTATTTAACATACCACATCTCTTGCAAGAATTAACTCAATGACATTAAGATATAGAACACAGATAAAAGACACCTGGCCACAAGCCAACTGTGATTGATGTCAGATAGTAAGTATGTAGGTAATAGGTTAAAGGAAGCTCTTTTTCTGTGTATAGATGTGTATGTATATATAACTATTTGACATTTTCATATTAAATCTTTTAAAAAACAAAATTAAAAATAATTTTAAAGCTCCCCTTCTAAATAGTAAAAGGTGAAAAGTAGAATTAAGAAAGACATAACCACAGACTTTCCTGAAATAAATATTTTATTTGCTAAAACTGCAAACAGCTAATCAAGGAAACACTAGTTTTAAATAACAAATTCTTTTAAGAACTATTTCATTACTAAGTTGAAAAATATATATGCCAAAATAACACAAGCTCCAACAGCCAAATACGCTCTAGAATAAGAAGCCAGCCCTCAGCCCTGGCTGCTGAGAGCCATCGTTTCAGAGCCACTTTTCCAAAACCCTTAAAAAATCCCTGCTGAAAGAAACCACACTTCAGAAAAAGGAAAAAAGAAATCAAGGAATTAGCTCATTCAAAACAGTAGAAATAGATGAAAAATTAAGTAAAAAGCTTTAAATAGCAACAATATACATTAATAATTTTTATAGGAAAAAAAACCAACAACAAATGTTTTAGGTTGGACAGCACCTAAATTTTCCTTAATAAATCTCACTTCAATTCAAAGCATTTAATTTTAGCATAAATCCTCAAATATAAAAGTTTGATAGCCACTCTAAACAATCTGAGATAGCCATTCCACAAATATTTTTAAAATAATTGCTTACCTTAAGAGACCGATGAACTCTTTTTGATTTTAAATCCCAAATATTAACAGTGTTATTTAGGCCTCCACTTGCCAAGTACATAGATGTGGAATTTAAATCAACACATGTCTGCTTTTGCTATTAAAAAAAAAAAAAATTAGCTTAGCAGAACACAGAAATGCCAATGAAGCCTCCCCCAACACTTGGTAAGCACAATGGTAAGTATGCTGAATCACACACTATAAAGATGCTGATACTTGTAACTAAAGCTTTCACCACCTGTCATTGTTCACATGGATCCAACAGCTTATGAGTTTCAAGAAGACTTCAAGGAAATCAAGATGGGTGCCCTCCTTCACTGAAGGGTGGCCAGAGAGCAAGCTGAGGAAACTGGCAAATCTTGGCCTCTCATCAGCATGTGCCTTTACTGTCTCCCCCGATGAAACCTGTTCTTGTCCCTCCACAGAATATCTCAAATTACAATTAATCTCTAGTTTAGAAACTGCTAAATGTAGGGCTTTTAAAGAATTTCTAGCTTAGACTCCCATTTTATAAATGAAGAAAGTTATTTAAGCAGGTCAAGATACTTGCCAATCTCCCAGCCAATCTTAGCCCAAAGATTCTCTACCATATCATCAAACCCTGACCTCAAGGGCTAGGGATTTGGCCCAGTTATAAAGCATTTCCCTAGCATGTGTAAGGTCCTGAGAATTGCACCATCAAATAGAAATTCATGAATACATAAATAAAATAAACCTGATCTTGCATTCTACCTCAACTGAGCAAGGTCACAATACATCCAGTTTCTCAAGGTAGAAGTGTTGAACAACCCTCAATTCAACCCTAAATAAATCCCACATACTTCCCTTAGCGCTAACCCAAACCTTGTCAGACCATGACTGCCCCCTGGTTAGTTTTCCTGTTTCTACTCCTGCTTCCTAATATTCCACCCTCCATAAACAGCATGAACTTGAAAAAACAAAACCACAAGGCAGAGCTTGTCTCTTCCCTGCTTAAAAGTCTTCAGTGGCTTCCAATCACACCTAGAGAAAACCTCAAACCATTCACCTGGTCTCAGAGCCCTATCTATTTAGGCTCTGCTCACTTCATCTCTTGTCACTTTCTCTTCATACACTCATTCTCCAGCCATAATGACCTTCCATTCTTTAACACAACAATCCTGTATTTGCCCTCAAGGCCTCTATATAGCCACTCTCCTTGCCTGGAAAGCTAAGTTCCCTGAACCACAATTAGATGGTTTTTCTGGTCAACAGATGTCAACAGATGTCACTTCTTGAAGAAAACCTCCCCTGGCCACCTAGTGTAACCTGCTATGGCAGTAACTTATTTTAGTTCTCTGGAGAACAACTTTCTAATACCTGGGTAATTTTGCTTATAGTTTGTTGCCTGTTTGATATCAGAAAGTCAGTTTCATAAAGATTATAGCCATATACAGTATTTAATAATACGCCAGAGTAAATGGCTAGATATGCAGAGGTCATCAAGTTCTTACAGTGAATGTCTGAGTGTCCCCTATGTGCCTATATGCAGGTGCCATCAATAACAGGCTATGCAGCAGAATTCAGTGTTGCAAAGTTTCCTACAGACACACTATGAAGTTCACCTACTGTTCTTCCTTCCAGCTGCATGCCATGAAAAGAAAAGGAGAAATGAAGTCCAAAGGGGATACTTCATAACTTAGTTAAAAGACACGCTACCTATTTACTATCTCCCATTTTTGAATCCAAGTCTGAGAAGCAAACAAGAAAAGAGTACTAGACCTACTCCTACCCTAAGGGTCTAGGCATCCACAAAACAGCCTCTGCTCCAAAGTCTCTGACATGTGGTCCCCTTTCCACATCCCCACTGGACCAGGCAACATTTCAGTCTGACCAACAGTGTCAACGAATACATAAAAAGAGCAGGATACACATCACAATGGTGATGCAGTTCTACAGTGGTTAATTCTCTTGTAGATACCACTCTAGGAATTAACTTTGGTATAAATGAACCAATAAAATTTAGTTTAGGATTTGGTTGCCACTGCAGATCAAGAGAGCTTACTAAGAATTATCAAAATGATTTTTAAAGGAAACAAATAAGGATGGTGTCCACCCACAATAACCTTTAAAATAAACAAAGACAATATCCAGCAACAACTGGTATATTGGGATGTCAGTTTTCACAAGTATAATTATTGTTAAAGGCTCAGAAAAGAACCTATACTCAAAACTGGCTTATGCTGTTGATGAAAGGTCTTTTATGCTAATGTATTATTAATGTAGCTAATAAACTTAAATAATTAATAGAAATTGTATGGTTATTACAAGAATCTTGTACCCATAAGACAAAAAAATAGCATAATTTTTAAAACCTAAAAAATAGCTGGTTAAATTTTGAAGTTATTTAGTACCCTATTATATCCATTACAATGCTGTTAATACCAACCTGTATACTTTAAAGAAGATTCAAATTAAAAACAAAATCATGAACTTAGCATTCCATTCTAAAAGTAATTTTAAAATAAGTAGAATGGAATTTATTTCCTAAAGTAGAAAAGGTGTAACAGCACAAAGAACACATGAATTAACAGGACTGGAATCCCGCAAAAATAATTATCAGTGCACTAATATGATACAATAAATTCCTAATAAAGCTAAGGAACCAATATTTGCAAGATACGTTTCTAATTAAAGTGCATTCAAAATCAGAACTACAATGAGCTCACTTAAGGACGTGCATTATGATTTTTAAAAGTGAGGAGGAATAGCAATTACAGTAAATGATTGGGAATATTCTCAAAATCCTTGGAATGATGTCACATTTGCATATATCATCTATTAAAGAATAAAATATAATTGAAGTATAAAATCAAATTTAAAGTTTAAAAGTGCAAAGCACACAACACTTTTTTTTAAGGAAAAAGTCTAAACATGGACTCTAAACATAATGTATGAAAACACACACAGTGTGAAGGTAGGAGACACTGCTTTGGTACAGACGTTAAAATCAACAATGTTTGCAGACCACTTTCAAAAGGATCAGAGGTCTCAAGATGACTAGGTTGTTATGCCTGCTCCTGAAGAGTACAGTCTGCTTAGCCAGGGACATTCTCCTTCAATTTTACTTAGAACCCTTTGAATAGTCAGAGTGCCCCACACTCCATTCTGTCCTTCTCAAACATTCTCTCCAATCCCATGCATGGGCTGAGATTTAAGTGATGAAAATTTTGAAGCAAGAAAAGAATAAGCTACCAATTACTTGCACCATTTTATTTAGATATTCTTCTCTTTAAAGAAGAAATAGCTTCTAAGGAGTATATGTAAATGGAAATGAGGAAGCCAGTATTAAGCCAGAATTGGAGGAATTGATTCATATAACAAAGGATAAAGAAACAGTATTCCATAAGAGCTTCATATATGTGCTGTAGGCCCAAAGCCATTCTGTTCCAGGAGCTGGAGGAAGGCTCAGGCAGGTCCCTGAGTCCTAAGTAGACATAATCTGAAGCAGAAAAATTGTAAGATCCGGTCTTTGCTGACGGTCCAGCACTCAGTCAGCAGGACCGGTTACATCACCAGGGTTCATATGTTCAGGTCAACCTAGTGACGTCAGCTGGATCAACAGAGGCTTCACCAAGAGAGAGGAAATAGAAAAAGTACCTCCCTGCTGAAATCTAAGTCGGTTGCTCTCCTATGATGCGAAATTATTACACCTAAAGACATTTTAGTAAAGCACAGAGACCTCGCCTGTGTTGTTGTATTATTTGGCATTTAGGTTAAAAATGTTTTTAAATACCTTTATTTAGCTGCAGAACACCATAATGAAAAGTCACTGTCACATAAGCAAAACTAAGATTTTAAACAAAAAGTTTAAAAAGCAAGTAACTTACCCCTTCAGCAAGCTCCAAAAGTGGAACTGGTTTACACTTGCAACTTGAAACCACTATTTTGTCACCACTGGAAGATGCTGTCACTAGAAAGTTATCTGAATGAAGAGTTAGGGAACATCACAGCCCATGAGCATGTACAGCAGTTGTCTGTCACAGGAGCGCAACTACACAGGCAGACACCAAGAAGACAAGCACCTGAACACAGCCCACACATCAGCTTAACAGCGGTTCCAGTCACCAAGTCCTCATTTTTCCTCCTCCTTCAGGGAAGAGCTGGCCTCTGGCTGTGCAGTCATTGGAAAGCTGTTTAGCACATGTGAAATACAATCCCTGCTCCCTTCCAGGGTGGGCCAGATGGTCTAATTTTATTCTATCAGAAAGAGAGGATAAAAGCAGCACTCACAAATATTAATCAGCGATTTCATCTACAAAACTGTTAAAGATACTAATTAATCCAGTGTTTGCTAATGATTTAAATTAGAAAGCCAGTAACCCTATCTCTCTCCTAATTTTTCCCAATCAAAAAAATGAAGATTGCTTTTTTCTCAGGACTAGAATTTCTGTTACAGAATACATCAATCATAAATGTATTAAGAATGAATGCTACAGCAAACATGGTACATAAAAATGAGTGCAGTTAAATAGCAACTGCTTATGTTAAGCAAATCTTAACTTTATTTTAAATTAAATTTAAATTTATCATAACTTAAAATTATTGTTAGCTTAGTCTATATAAATAATACATGGAATAGTAAGTAAACACAAAACAACAATAAATATTATAAACCAAAAAATTAAACGATATAATCTAGATTTTGAGTCATAACATTAGACTATCAGAAATTTTTATGTATATTTGTTTATTTTAAAAGTGACTATACACACATATGCACACCTACACATGCACTACATCTCATGCGTGGTGGTCAGAGGACAGCTTTCAGGAGTTGTCCCCTTCTACCAAGTGGGTTCGGAGATAGAATTAAGGTCAGGTTAGTGACAAGGGTCCTGACCCTTTAACACTGGCACCAGAGTCACAATTTTAAATCTTTAGTGTTTAGCAAGCAAAGTCTATGCAATGACGCAATGGGGAAATCTAAGCATTGTTTTTGGACAGTGTTCAGATATTCTGTGACTAGAACATGGACTGTCACAAGCTTTGTTGTTGCTGTTGTTTTTGAGACAGTCTTATATATCTTAGCCTGGGCTCAAACTTAGTATGTTGCTGAGGATGACCTTGAATCTCTGAACCGACTGCCTCCCTCCACCTCCCAAGCACTGGGATCACAGGTGTACCACTTCACCCAATTTTATGTGCTACTGGGAATCAAACATAAGGTTTCATGCAAGCTAGGCAAGCCTCTACTAATTGACCTACATCTCTAGCCCCAAATATTATTTAAAAGTTCAGTTCATCCAGTTTAATTCATACCTAAACTCCTCTGGAGTCAAAGACAAAGTGTCGTTTTATCCTAAGAATGAAGTACCTGGCTAATACCTCAGCTGCTGTCAATACAACAGTCACCACGAGAATGCATGATCCATAATTTCTCTAATTCATAAGCTTCTCTGGATTCTGGAAGTATCAAATCGCCACAAAGATCCACAAAACCACACATGAGCACCTCTCTCCCTTCAATCTCACCATGAAGCTTGCTCTTTCATCCTGGGTACCTGCACATCCTCTCAATGAGTGCCCACACCTTCTGTGTCAAGTCCAAGTTCTGCTGGTGATTAGAGTACTCTGCATACCTCATTTCTGGGGGAAACAAAATCACTTCTACCAGCACAGTGCAATAGTGAGAAAAAGAAATCATTTCCCTTTCTTTGGCTTCTTCCTGGTTACATTTCACCCCTCAGAACACTGAAGGAGGCTTCAGGAAGATGAGAGAGGGTCAACTAGTTCAGGGCTTCCTTGTAGTTTTAGAAATCATGAGAAAGGGAGGAACATTACTTAGAGGACCAAGAAGAAAAAAGAAAACTAACTTCCCTAGCACTTCACACTAATCTTGTTCTTGGCATTTATACTGTGGGGACCCAAGGTGCTGAGTGAACTCTGTCCTTCAGTAACTAGCTGGCATGCGAGGGAGCAGAGACTCATCAGGAACCCATGAAGGCTTCAGATGCACACCCGCTCACATCAGTACACGCAGAGATCACACCAGCTTCCACAAGTCACACAGCACTACCTCACAGCCACCTCAGTGGCACAGGCTGTTAAGGAGCACATGAGCAAATGCTAGCTCCCAGCTACACTCCTTGAAACTAGAGAAAAAAACTACACATCCTATCAAGAATGGTTTTTTTTTTTTTTCTTATACAGTAGCAGAAAAAAATTAAGTTCCAAACATAATCAAAATTTAAACTAGGATCAACTCATACATTTGCTGCTTTCCTTAAAATAGTTTCCATACTAGACATCAGAGAATCCTTCAAAACTACAGACACTTCACCGTAAGTTTGATTAATAGACCACCAAAGTAATTATTTCACTGCTATGATGAAAAATTAAGAAACGATGAAGTGGCAAATTTAATTCAATAAGAAAACTTGTCATTTTTTGTTATGTATTTCTAAGAACAGGCATTGATGATTTGAAAATTCTAGTACTTTTGTTCATAAATCAGTTATAGCTTTGGCAGTTTTCATCAGGAAGACCTATTAATACTTTGGTATTGGTAAGAACAGACAATTCTTAAAACTTGATGTTGTTTCAGAATTAGCATGCTTTCACTGAAGATTAATGTCTACAACACCAATGATACAGAATTTCCCATACAAGGAACAGCAACCAGTGCTTTGTCATAGCAGTTGTCTCAGTGGTGTCCAAGTCGAGCCATTCTGGAAACACTGTTACAACTGGAAGTTAAAGGCAACTAGTGGGTGGGTAGAGGCCAGGAAAGTGCCCACGGCAAAGAACTGTCAGGCCCAACATATCAGTGGTGTGAGGCTAGGAAACCCTAACTCACAGGTCCCTCATCACATTCAGGAGCTCACCAACACGGGGAGCATCAGTCAGAAAAGTGTAGGAAAACTCAACCTAGCCAATTTTATTACATTTGGGAAATAATGTGATCATATACAGAATGTAGACAAATACAAACAGATCATCAGGAAGACGGGGATGCTGGACAATTTTTACTTATTTTTATTTTATTTTATGTGTATAGTATTGTGCCGGCACATATATAAGTGCACCTAAGTTACGCAATGCCTGCAAAGGCCAGAAAAAGGCATCAGATCCTCTGGAACTGGAGTTATGAACAGTTGTTAGCTGCCATGTAGGTGCTGAGAACCAAACCCAGGTCCTGTGCAAGAGTAGCCAGTGCTCTAACCACAGAGCCATCTCTCCAGCCCATCTGAACAATTTTTTACCTCCTGTCTCAACTTCCTTCTGGCCTCAAGCTCTGCCATTAATTTCCAGATCAGATTCAAAAACACCTAAAGGTAGACACAAAAAAATCATTCTAAAACCTTCTGGAGGTTTTCTCACCCTTACCTACTTATTCCATTTTTTATTATTGAATAGTAACCTATTGAAAACAAAGTAATTCTACCGCCTGGATCTAGAGACTAATACACGGCAACGCATTTGAATGAAGTGGGTTACAAACAAAGTCTTTAAAAGAAAATCAGAGTTCATGTACGCATAGTTTTTTTTAAAAAAAAATTTTTTTTTGAGTCAGCATCTCCTCATAGCCACAGCTGGCTATGCAGACCAGGCTAGCCTAGACCTCAGAGATCTGCCCCTGCCTCCCGAGGGCTGGGATTAAAGGCATGAGGCACTATGGCCAGCCTAAATTATACGTTTAATCTGTGGTAGCCACAAAATAAATAAATAAAATCTGTCTTTGTATGGGTTATGTATATAGTTTCATTGATACAAGTTGTGAAGCCTAATAAAAAGTTGTTACTCTTTTAAAAAGGATACTATTGCTGCTCCAACATATTGAACTGATTCCATGGGGTGGTGTGTGGGGGTTGAATTTATCCACCAGTGTCATAGACGAGGCATCCCATATTTTAATATCATCTCCTGAGGAAGCAAATCTGAGGTTTTCCTGCATGGCTGAGCCTAGAAAAAGTTCAACAATATGTTTAAAAGAACAATTACAGAAATGCAATTTTTAAAAATTGAAATGGAATACCTAACCTAAACCCAGCAGCTCTACCTGTCCATTCATTTATTCCAAATAGCACAGTCACTACAAAGAGGGAGAATCTAACACACCAGCCAAGGCCTGTTCCTTCAGCTGAGGCTGCCAGCAGTCCCCTGGTCCATGCCCCCCCCCACACACAATCATAACAAATGCACCCTCCTTAGCCTGTCTTACAAGACAAGCATCCCCCAGGGAACCCTCCTACCTCTTCCTGGGGCCACCAGATCTGGACGCTGGCCTTTTTTATGTCTATGCACCAAGCCAAAGTCATTCTTACCTGAATGTCTTTTCACCTCCTGTCCGTTCTACCTGGAAAGCTCCCCCCCACCCACCACCACGTTCCCCCATACCATCATCTCCTTTCATCCAGGTCTCAGTTCAAACATGTGCTTCTGAAAGACAGGTTCCCTTCCTGTCCACTGTGGCTAACGCTATCCTATATTCCATGTTCAGTATTTTTTCTTTTTAATGGCACTGTTACCTGAAAATCTTGTTTCTTCACATAATGATCTCTGCTTCCTCATCTGGGAGTCCTGAAACATTCCTGACACATGAAAAGCAGTCCACAAAGAAGTGGACTTTCCCATCTTTTTAAAAATGTACCATAAACTAGCATTTTTGGAAGTCTGAATCCCTTGTTTTCCAAATTACTCTAAGATTAGCAATACGGCCAAAAAGAGATGCCATTGCATCCCAATACCAACCCTTGGTCCACAACACCATCACTTTTTATTCACATATGTTGTTACAACTGATAATTCTAATAACGTGCTTCCATAATCTGAGGTAATCCCAGAGATAGAGACAAAGAGGTTGCTCTAGAGACTTTAAAAATCAGCAAGGGGTACGAATGACAAGTGAGAAGTCGGTTCAAAAACTCACAGGGGAGAAGAAAGTAGAGAAACACAGTCTCACACCCACTACAGGCAGTGCAAGAGTCCTATGGAACAGGGTCAGACAGGCCCCAGGTCATCAACACAGCTCCACACTTAGGTCTGACTCCGCTTCAGAGGACAAGATAAAAGTAAAATCAACTGCAGAAACTTAAAGAAAAATATCTTACTGTTTATGGAAAGGAGAAAACATTTAACCAGAAAACTCGTGTGATTTACTGCACTTCCATCATAAAGTTAAGGTGCTACCCAAGAACCATGAGTCACCTGTTGAACTGCAGGCTGCGTTTCTATTTGGTGACTAAAACACTACCCTGTTCCCCTACTCAGGAACAGCAAAGAACTCTCAAACTCAGTAGAGTTGTAAGAGGTTGCTACCATATCCTTCCAGGTCCCTGCTGGGCAGTGTGGTGCAATGGGTGCATAAAGGGTCCGAAAAGCCGAGCTCCAGCCTTCTGCCCATCTTAAGTGATGCTAACTTGGCAAGTTATGTAAGCTTCCCTCTCTCAACTTGGGATGAGGGAGGCGCATCTGCCCTCTTGACTTCTGGGATCTGAGGACTTCCAGGGAGCAGCTGATGACATCAGTCCTTGGAGAGGGTCCCACGGACCGGGAGCTGTCAGGACACGGCATACCTCACCGCAGGTCAAGCTTGGGGACGGACGCTACTGAAGCAGCACACTCACTCTGCTGAAAGGAAAGTTCTTCCAAGCTCCCTCATCACAGGGCACCCCGCAGGCCCGAGTCCTACTCAGGGTTCGGCTAGCGGGGGCTGGGCTAGAACGGCCGCACCCCGCCGGCTACCCGGGCCACTTGGGCCGGCAGCGGCGCGGGTCGCAAGGCTGGGCTCCGGGCCGCCGCTGGGCTCCCGGGAGGAGGAGCCCGGCTCAGCACGGTGCCCGCACCCGGGCCTCCAGAGCCTCACCTCTCCGCTGTGGGACCACAGTGGGCCCCCACTCCACCCGCTCCGCGCAGGGCTTCCGGCTCCCGCCTGGACTGTTAAACTTGGGCGGCCGGAAGTCCCGCCCAGGTGACGTCACCGGCGAGGCACAGCTCTCGGCCTGGGCCTGGCTCTGCTTGGCTCTGCAAAGGAAGTTCTCCCAGTGCAGGGTGGAAACTTAATCTCCCGTATCCCAGAGGCCAGATCTCTGACTACTGCTCTTTTCCGATTCATTTTCTTCACTGTCTACTGTGTGCCAGGCACTGGGTTAGGTTCTGAATGTGCAGTGATGGGGTGTGTTCAGAGGAACAAAAGAATAATGGGTCCCTGAGTAGTGGCACGTACAGTCCAGTGTAGGAAGCTGATGCTAATAATTCTATACTTAAAGGAAAAGGGAGCAGGAAGACTGGTAATCAACCCAGGAAAATCTAAGCCTAACCCAAACCCTAACCCTGAAGGCTGAGAGTGAACCTTCTGTGCCAACCACTTTCAAAACCCAAGCCTTACATGCCGCTGGTTCAGGTACATGAACACCATCTCAGCGGGAATTCCTTGAAAGAGAATGCATCTCAGTGTGGGAAAGGGAGTTCTGAACGGGGTTTTCCAATTTCCCTTCTTAAGAAGCTACACACACACCCCTTTTTTTTTTTAAAACTCTACTGATAAGTTTTGCTTCGAGTTCTGAAAGAGTGTTCTATGAGAAAGTCCCTCCATCACAGGTGCACACAGGCTGTGCTTCTGCACTGTATAAATAAATCACAGTTATCTGTATCGATATTACGATATCATATCACAAATAACTCGGAACTTTTCTATGTCCATCCCTCTCCCACCTCCAGGAGAAAATGCAGTCCTACCCAAGTTCTGGAGGTCGCTGGGGAAAAGCCATGGTATAAACACGGTGTGTGCCTAGCATCTGCCTTCATTGATCTGCAACTTTTGACGTTATTAAACCCGATTTTGCCTGGGATTCAGCCCAGAACGTTGGGATCTGACAGAGCAAGGAAAATCGGGGCATATGGAGGAAAAGAAATCTTCTAACAGAAAAAACAAACGTGGTGGCCCACACCTTTAATCTCAGCACTCTGGAGGCAGAGGTAGGCAGATCTCTGTAAGATCAAGGCCAACGTGGTCTACAAAGTGAGTTCCAGGTCAGCTGGGGCTACAGGAAGACCCTGTCTCAAAAAGACCAAAAAAAAAAAGGCAAATCTCTGACACTGAAGCCAGCAAGGAAATTAAGACTGAATCATATAAAAACAAAAATCGATACCTGAAACCAGCCATAGATGTTAAGATTATTCCGAGGCACAAAATGGGATATTTCATATCAAAGAGTATAAGCTAGGCAGAGTAGCTCAAACTTGAAATTCTAGCACCTGGGAGAAGGCAGAAGGATTCCCAGCCTGGACTACAGAGCAAGACTTTGTCTGAAAGAAACAAAGTGTAAATAAGGCCAACTCTATGCTAGTTATAAATATGTATGTGAACAATAACAATTTCTAAGTGTACAAAGAAAAGATAGAACTAAAAAGAGGGGAAAGGGCATATCCATATATATCCATAATTGTTGAATACTTCCATGGAATTGTCTCAGTAATTGATTGATAGAACATTAATCACTAATGGTGTGGAAGATTGGGGCACCATCAACTGTCAGCATGCACAGAGGACTGTATCACCAACTACTGCAAGATTAGCATTGTCTTCAGATACATACTTGTAAAGAGAAACTGTAGAATGAGGCATTAAGCAAGTTTTAAAAGATTTTATTTTTTTAAAGATAGTTTTATTCATGTGTATGTATTTATCTGTATGCCACCTGTGTCATCAGTGCCTGCAGAGGCCAGAAAAGGGTGTGAGATACCTAGAGCTGGAGTTACGGGCAGTTGTAAACCACCAGATCAAGGTGCTGGAAACCGAACTCAAGATTGTTTGGAAGGAAAGGACATACTCTTAACCACCATTTCTCCAGCTCTAACCATCTAATTTTCTTAGTCCAATTCTGCTGCCACAACAGAATCCCTGGAAGGAGGCACTTGACAAAGAATAGAAATTTCTCTTCTCATAGGTTTACGGGCCAGGGAGGTCAAGGTCAAGGTGCCAGAGTCTGCCCTCTGCTGAGACTCTTCATGTTGGATCCACTTGGAGCTGAGACTGGGTGCTGTGAATACAGATGGCGTCGAATTGGGTCTCCTACCCCAGCCTCGTGAGTTCATATTTGAACTCAAGATTTGAATTTGGGGCATCTATTCAGATCATACCGTTTTCTTTAGGTAAGACTTTATTTATTTTTTTAAATTACCTATTTAATGACCACATACTTAGAAGAAGTATTTCATTACAACAGCATTGACATATTCAATAACAATTTCCAGAGCTAAGATGCATCTGTTTCAAAATTGGCTGTAAATTTTTTAGATTTACATTTGAATTAATACAGTTATACAATATTGTACTCAGCATAAACCCTATAAGACATAAAATTGAGGTTTTAACCTTTAAAAAAGATCTCCATTTCATTATTAAAATACACAGTTTCATACAGAAAAATTCATTTTT